CCAGACACCCAAAAATATTAACAAAAAATACATTTTATAGAGAATAACTATAGTTTTTCATACAGACTAGTGCATACGAAAACACTGTCTGTTTTTAAATTTAAGTCTCTTCTTAAAAATCACTTAATCACTCACAACCAAATACAGTGGACCCCCGGTTAACGATATTTTTTCACTCCAGAAGTATGTTCAGGTGCCAGTACTGACCGAATTTGTTCCCATAAGAAATATTGTGAAGTAGATTAGTCCATTTCAGACCCCAAGACATACACGTACAAACGCACTTACATAAATACACTTACATAATTGGTCACATTCGGAGGTAATCGTTATGCGGGAGTCCACTGTAAATACTGAATAATTGTATCTCATAAATGTTTAACCTGTGACCCTATCAAACTTTGTTTTGTTTTTAATTACATTACCTAACAGAATACTCCATTCTACTGAATGCACAGCAACTCGGCAAATGATCATATGACCTGTCTTTGAAATACTCATTTGTGCTTAATTGTTATTTGTTTACTATAATTTTTACCACTGAATATATCATTGCTTAGTTAATCTTAAGTTAATTTTAAGCCTGCCCATAATGCTCTGCATACAAGGGGCTTTTGGCATGTTACACTTAACCACTGTATTTCTTTGTACATCTATGTATCATGTCCAAATTAATAATAAATAAATATATACATATATATGTGTATGTTGTAGGTAGTAGGTTGGTAGACAGCAATCACCCAGGGGGCTACTACCGTCCTGCCAAGTGAGTGTGTAACTAAAGCCTGTAATTGTTTTAAATGATGGTAGGATTGCTGGCGTCCTTTTTTCTGTCTCGTGAACATGCAAGATTTCAGGTACGTCTTGCTACTTCTACTTACACTTAGGTCACACTACACATACATGTACAAGCATACATATACACACCCCTCTCGGTTTTCTTCTATTTTCTTTCTAGTTCTTATTCTTGTTTATTTCCTCTTATCTCCATGAGGAAGTGGAACAGAATTCTTCCTCCGTAAGCCATGCGTGTTGTAAGAGGCGACTAAAATGCCGGGAGCAAGGGGCTAGTAACCCCTTCTCCTGTATAAATTACTAAATTTAAAAAGAGAAACTTTTGTTTTTCTTTTTGGGCCACCCTGCCTCGGTGGGATACTATATATTTATACAGTATGTATATATATATATATTTTTTTTTTGTTTTTTTTTTTTTCAACAAGTCGGCCGTCTCCCACCGAGGCAGGGTGACCCAAAAAAAAAGAAAGAAAATCCCCAAAAAAAAAATACTTTCATCATCATTCAACACTTTCACCACACTCACACATTATCACTGCTTTTGCAGAGGTGCTCAGAATACAACAGTTTAAAGCATATATGTATAGAGATACACAACATATCCTCCAAACTGCCAATATCCCAAACCCCTCCTTTAAAGTGCAGGCATTGTACTTCCCATTTCCAGGACTCAAGTCCGACTATATGAAAAAAAACCGGTTTCCTGAATCCCTTCACTAAATATTACCCTGCTCACACTCCAACAGATCGTCAGGTCCCAAGTATCATTCGTCTCCATTCACTCCTATCTAACACGCTCACGCACGCTTGCGGAAGTCCAAGCCCCTCACCCACAAAACCTCCTTTACCCCCTCTTTCCAACCCTTTCGAGGACGACCCCTACCCCTCTTTCCTTCCCTATAGATTTATATGCTTTCCATGTTTTTTCTACTTTGATCCATTCTCTCTAAATGCCCCAAACCACCTCAACAACCCCTCTTCTGCCTCTGACAAATGTTTTTTATTAACTCCACACCTTCTCCTAATTTCCACACTCCGAATTTTCTGCATAATTTTTACCCCAAACACATTGCCCTTAGACAGGACATCTCCACTGCCTCCAACCGTCTCCTCGCTGCTGCATTTCCCACCCAAGCTTCACATCCATATAAGAGTGTTGGTACTACAAATACTTTCATACATTCCTTCTTTGCCTCCATAGATAACTTTTTTTGACTCCACATTTTACCTCAACGCACCACTCACCTTTTTTCCCTCATCAATTCTATGATTAACCTCATCCTTCATAAATCCATCCGCCGACACGTCAACTCCCAGTATCTGAAAACATTCACTTCTTCCATACTCCTCCTCCCCAATTTGATATCCAATTTTTCTTTATCTAATCATTTGATACCCTCATCACCTTACTCTTTTCTATGTTCACTTTCAACTTTCTACCTTTACACACATTCTCAAACTCATCCACTAACCTTTGTAATTTTTCTTTAGAATCTCCCATAAGCACCCGTATCATCAGCAAAAAGTAACTGTGGTCAATTCCATTTTGAATTTGATTCCCAAAATTTAATCCCAACCCCTCTCCCGAACACCCTAGCATTTACTTCTTTTACAACTCCATCTATAAATATATTAAACAACCATGGGACATTACACATCCCTGTCTAAGACCTACTTTTACCGGGAAGTATTCTCCCTCTCTTCTACACACCCTAACCTGAGCCTCACTATCCTCATAAAAGCTCTTTACAAACATTTAGTAACTTACCACCTATTCCATATACTTGCAACACTGCCACATTGCTCCTCTATCCCCTCTATCATATGCCTTTTCTAAATCCATAAATGCAATAAAAACTTCCCTACCTTTATCTAAATCTGTTCACATAATGTTTCAATGTAAACACTTGATCTACACATCCCCTACCCCCTCTGAAGCCCCCTTGCTCGTCCCCAATTCTAATTCTGTCTTACCTCTAATTCTTTCAATTATAACCCTACCGTTTTACTTTTCCTGGTATACTCAGTAAACTTATTCCTCTATAATTTTTTTCAATCTCTTTTGTCCCCTTTCCCCTTTATATAAAGGGACTATACTGCCCCTCGCCAATCCCTAGGTCTTCCCCTCTTTCATACATTTATTAAAAAAAAGACCAACCATCCCCAAAACTATATCCCCCCTGTTTTTAACATTTGTCATGACCCATCAGTTCCAGCTGTTTCCCCCTTTCTTCTACGAAATGCCTCACGTACCTCCACCACCTTACATTCTCTCTTCTTCACTCAAAAAAAGATGGTAACCTCCCTGGCCATGCTGAAATTACGGGCCCCCCCTTTCTTCCCTTTTAACATTTAAAAGTTCCTCAAATATATATATATATTATTATATATATATATATATATAAATTTATATATTTTTAATCTATTTATATATAACATTATATTTATATATTTTATAAATTTTTATTATATATATTTTTTATATATGTATTTTAAAATTTATTTTTTTGTATTTATATATTTATTTATATAATGTATTTATAATATGTATTTATAATATGTATTTATTATATGAATTTTTTATAAATATATATATATAATATATAAAAATATATATATATATATTATATATATATATATATATATAAAAATATATATATATAATTATTTTAAAAGTGGACCCCCCCCATAGCGAACTTAATCCGTGCAAGGGGGCGGTCTTATGCAAATGTTCGCTTGCAATTAATTTTCCCATAAAAAATAAGGGAAATAAAATTAAATCCTGCAAGACACCCAAAAATATGAAAAAAATTTTTTTTTACCACAAAAAAATTTAATTTTAGTCAACAAAAATGAAAAGGCAGCACAATTACAGACACTTACTTTTATTAAATCTGGTGATGATTTGATGGGAGGGGGGGGGGGGGTTTTTTAGTGTTTTGAAGGGGGAAACCCCCCCCATTTTGGACTTTAGGTAGCAAGTCCTTTTTGGGGTTTCTTCCCTTCTTTTTTAATGCCACTAGGGACCAGTTCAAGTCATGGACCTTGTTTGCAAACAAATCTGTCCATAGATTCGTACCTCCCCTTCTTTCGATTTGTCTAAAAAAGGGCCATAAAATTGTCATTGAAATAGTCACCACACGGGTTGCAACAGCTTGTCGGGTTTATTTTTATCCAAAAGGGGTTTGCAGTTCAAACCCCTGTGCACACATTTCCCCTTTAAATTTTTTAATAGACAAAGGATTCCACAACTGGCATAGGCTTTCAGGGGTTTGCCCCAAAACCCTTCAAAATCTTCTAATTTCCCCCTACAATTCTCAACCCCTTTTTTCCACAGGGTTGGCACAAAGCTTTCTTGGGGCCCATGGTCACTTATTTTCCAGAAACAGCACCGAAAACACTGTAATAATACGAATTATTCCGAGTGTATGCTTGAATGTTACCGCGGAGGCTGGCTGGTAAACAATGGACGCGTCTCGGACGAAGGTCGCTGAGCGGGTTTTTGTCCACTATGCGGGGCAAAATTTTGGCGAACAAAGCGTTCGCTATGCGGATTGTTCGCTATGCAAGGCGTTCGCTATGCGGGGGTCCACTGTATATATATATATATATATATATATTCTTTCTTTCAACACACCAGCCGTATCCCACCGAGGCGGGGTGGCCCAAAAGGAAAAACAAAGGTTTCTCCTTTCACATTTAGTAATATATACAGGAGAAGGGGTTACTAGCCCCTTGCTCCTGGCATTTTAGTCGCCTCTTACAACACGCATAGCTTACGGAGGAAGAATTCTGTTCCACTTCCCCATGGAGATAAGAGGAAATAAACAAGAACAAGAGCTAGTAAGAAAATAGAAGAAAACCCAGAGGGGTGTGTATACATATGCTTGTACATGTATGTGTAGTGTGACCTAAGTGTAAGCAGAAATAGCAAGACGTACCTGAAACCTTGCATGTTTATGAGACAGAAAAAACACCAGCCAACCTACCATCGTGTAAA